CGTTTTACATAAAGCTTTCAACCATGAGATCTTAGAAGTCAAGAGCCATCAAGCAGAATCAGCTAACGCGATTACTACCCATCCTATCTTGAAAGAAAATAATTTTACAGCATTTATTCCTACATTCCGAGTCATGAGAACGGGCCTGATTAAGAACGTCCCCGCGAACATTTCCGACGAAGAGATTTTGAATAACTTTAAATCGCCATATAAAATTATTTCTGTTAAACGACTCAATCGAAGAATTAAAGAGGGACGAAACTAGGAATGTATCTTCTCACACTATCCTGGTTAAATTCGCTGGTCAAAGTTTATCTCACTTGGTATCATTTTTGCATGTTCGTTTCCCAGTCCTCCCCTATATTCCGCGAGTTCGACCTTGTTTTTACTTGCCTTAGATACGGACACATTAGTGCGGATTGTAAGAGCGCCCCTCGCTGTCCTCATTGCGGAAATACACGGCATGAATCCTCTAAGGATTGCCCCCGTGCTAATCTACCTCTGATCTGTTGTAACTGCCATCAGGAACACTTTCCCTCTTCTCTGTCCTGTCCCCTTTATATTAAGCAAAAATAGATATGGCCGCAATCGAGAATATTTCTTACGCGGACGCCCGTTTTAAACTGAACTATGCCGGGCCCTCGGATTCTTCATATCCTGCCTAAAACTCATCATCTCCCAGTGCTTTTCCTTCCCTCCCTCATCGCTCCCGCTTTCCGGCTTAGACACTCGACCTCAGAGCGGGGATATGTACTCGTCCTTTTTTGATAACAACCTTATACGCTCAGCCGATTACCGGATGACAAACCCACACCCTCTCCTTCTTTCCCCCCTAGCTCCTATACAGCAGCCATACGGTCTTCCAACTAAGCCCCTACGGCCATTCCCTTCAATACTCACCTCAAAACGGGTAGCGACTTACCTCGGCAGCAAACCGCCACTGACCGGGTTACGCCTCCTCCTCCTCTCCTCCACCACTCTTGGAAACGAAATCCGAAATTTGCACAACTCATTCCTCGCCCCCAATGGAAGACCTGTTCCCATCTCGGCTGATGAGAATCTCCATGACCCTCTCACAACTTCTGATCTCCCTTCCCCAGACCCCCTTCACTTCCTCCTATTACTCATTCTACTCCCTCCCCCTATTCCTATAAACCAGCCTTTCCTTACACTCCACCCACTCCCAACTCCCACAATTCATTTCCCTCCCTCTATTTCTCTCTCTCAACCTCGCTTAATTGTCTCGCAATCGGATGAGACCACTTTTCTCAACGCACTAGCCTTTCTCATTAATCACCTTTTTGGCCGCCTTATTCCTCCATCATTAAGAGACACAAATTCAAGCGTACACACCCTCCGCGAAGCGCTTCAGGATCTTCCAATTAATTCTAACCACAATGACAACACAATCCCAATTAATAACACTGTCTCTAGAAGACTACGCGTCGTTCATTGGAATTGTAGAAGTGCTCTAAGTAATAAAGGAGATATTAAGAAATTAGCGGATAGCTTATATCATAGTTCTCTGTGAAACGTGTCTCTCTCCTGTCCTGAATTTCGTATTCGGGATTTCGATTGTGTACGTGCCGATAGCACTTCTCCCGCAACTCGAGGCATAGCCATTCTGATTAAAAATCTTATTATATACTCTATGCTTGATCTCTCAAATAATTTGATGCCTCTGTTGGCTTACAGCTTCAATGTAACTCGAGCACTCTTAATGTTGTGGGCATGTACCGTTATCCTAATTCATCAATTTCTCAAGCAAGTCTCAACAATTTTATCGCTCTTACGACGACTCAAGATTTGACTCCCTTGATCAGTGACTTTAATGCACATCGTCCTTTCTGGGGTGCCTCTCGATCGAACAGAGCGCGTCGCATCATCAGCGAGGCAGTCGATCGATATAACTGCGTTATTCTTAATCCTAGTTTACCTACTTTTTATTCCCATCCTACTAGAAATTTCTCTCTCATTGACTTGGCGATCGCCTCGTCCTCCTTGGCATCACTGTATGAATGTGCAGTACTCGAAGACACACGTGGCAGCAATCATTATCCAATTCCTGTCCAAATTGACTGTCATGTCAAATGCTTCTTTTTTCTCTAATAAACTTAGGTTTACCAAAGATCAATGGAATCAAGCGTGTATTGAGATCTCTAAAGCCTCTCCTTACATTGTTGAATTCGTCATGAGTCTCCCTGTCAACGATCCAATTTCTCAATACAATCAATTTTACTCTAATGTTATTGACATCTTCTGACATCATTCTTCATCCCTCTCACGCTCTCATTCCTCAGACACTATCAACAACAACAACACTCGCAACGTTCCCTCTAAGCGGATCTCCCCTCCCTTAGTGGACTCCTGAGTGCACTCAAGCAATTCATCGTCGCTTGGAATTTTGCAAGGAATATCATTCGGCCTTGACTTTGGAAACTACGAAACTACGAACTCTATAAGAGTGAGGTCCGCGAATGCCGTAAGATCCTTAGAAGAGCTAAACGTCATGCCTGGCGCGAGTTCTGTAAATCGCTGGATGGCAAGACATCGACTGCAGATGTCTGGTATATGCTCAAACGGTTTCGCCGTAAGCGTAAACTATCAAATACTAAAAACAATGATAATAGATTCTGTGACAATCCGGTCATCATCCTTAAAGTCATTGACAAAATTCGTCTTCCTTTTTGCTTGCCCTCCTTGCAATCTTCCGGCTGATTCTTCGAGGCTAAGTCCATATTCATGATTGGATTCTCCTTTCGAATTTAGTGAACTTCGAGCTGTTCTCGCTTCAGTCAAATCCTCCTCTAGCCCTGGACTGGATCACAAAATCTTGAAGGCACTTCTGTCTGAGCTTCTTGAATGTCTCCTGTATATTTTTAATAACCTCTTCCACTATTCTCTCTTTCCTTTTCAATGGTCACATTCGCTTATCCACCTTATCAATAAACTTCATGAGGGGGGGGGGGTGCGTCCCATCTTCCTCACCTCTTGCTATCTTAAAACTCTTGAGAAATTAATCCTTAACCGTCTTTATTGGCTAATAGAATCTTCTCTCCATCCTATTTTTTCCAACTCTCAATTTGGCTTTAGAAAATTTCGGTCAGGCCAGGACAATCTCACTATATTAACAGCCGCAATACACGAAGACTTCGCCTCGGGTTTGTCTACGATTGCAGTTTTCATTGATATCAAATCTGCATTTGACAACATTTTACCTCACATCCTAATGAATGATCTACTGGTGATGATCACTCCTCCTAAAATTATTAAATTTATCGAAAATCTCATTTCATGTAGACATGTTCAATTTGTCATCCATGGGTCTCTCACGACACCGAAAATCTCTCGCAAAGGTACTCCCCAAAGTCGGTTCTAAGCCCCACTCTTTTTAATTTCTACCATCGCAAGTTGGAAGACTAGATTCATCCTCAGACCAAGATTCTCCAATTCGCTGACGATCTTGTGATCTATTCCATATCTCCGGACACACGCCCTTCTCTCCAATCGGTTGAGAACTCGCTGAATCATATTACCGAACGCTTACAAGGCCGCGGACTTGACGTCTCACTATCTAAAATGCAAATAATGATTTTCTCTAAACGCCGCACTCCTCCCTCCCTCGAGTGGCAAATTGTGTCGGGCACACACGCTCTCTCCAGTCCTAACCCTCGCTTCCTTGATATTATTCTGGACTCCGGCCTCACGGACCGTCGCCACTTTGAGAGTACAGCAATCAAAGCAAAAAAAAATTCTCCAAGTTCTGTCCACAATCAGGAGCACATGGTGGGGCGCTCACCCTTAGCTTCTCTTTACGGTCTATCCTTCCATGCTTAGAGCCTTGAATATAGTAGTCTTGTATTTGGTTTATCGCGATCTCGTACATTCCGGAAACTGGAAGTTATTCAGAATCACGCGGTTCGCACCTGTCTGAGTTGTCGTATTTCCACTCCAATTAACGCTCTCTTTGCAGAAACCAAAGAACCCTCTCCCAATCTCCGCTTCTAATTTCTTGCCGCCAAATATTTTACTAAAATTCTTTCGATTACTGACCACCCAACAGCAGTATCCTTATTCAAACTGGCAGATGCCTCTAACGATGCCAGTCTCTTTTCCTATCTGTCAGCTCACTTCCCTGCCCCTCTTATTTTCAAGGAAGTGGCTAATTCTTGCATGCGTATCGACCAATCCTCCACTCTAGGAGAGGTCTGGACAAGAGTAAATGGAGGCACGCGCACAAGCACACTTTCTCCTCCACTCATCTCACACCTACCCTTGTCCGGACCTCTCCTTTCTCCCTACTGGCTCTCAAAAAGAAATCTCCCGACCCAAACACTGCTCGCGTATTTGACGAACAGCTCTCTTTGATTACTGAGGATTCTACTGTATTCTATACTGATGGCTCTAAAATTGACAATAACCATTACGTCGGATCAGCAATATACTCACCGCAACTTCAAGCTTCCTTTCTACATAAGCTCCCCGCTGACACATCGGTCTTCTCTGCGAAAGTCTGGGCAATCTATAACGCTATTCTTTCTGCCATTGGTCTCAGTCTAAAATCCGCATACATTATCATTGACTCCCAGAGTGTTCTTAACGCTTTTTGTAGCTTCAATAATAATAATAACTACATAATTCCTCGTATCAAATCTATTCTCATCGAGGCGTCCGAACTCAATATGGATATCAAGTTCGTTTGAGTCCCATACGGGTCTCATACGGGCGTCGCGGGTAACGAGAAGGCGGATGCTTACGCGAGACTAGCTACCTCGAGAGGCTCATGATGTCATTTTAGAATCCCCTATTCTGACTACTTTTTTTCGCTGAAGAAAAAGTTTGACGGTAAAATCGAGTGCGTACTTACTGAATCCTCGAATATCAAGGGAGCCGTTACTTTCAGCATATCTATAAAAAAATAAAAAAATACTACCGCTCCGTAAGGAGAGTATTGTCACGGTTATGCGTCTTAGAGTTAATCATTATAACCTAAAACATAGTCTTTTCAGGAAAAACTTTATTGAAGGCTCATCATGGGATTGTGGACACCCTATCCAGGATGCGGACCATGTCTTATTTCGATGCCCGGTTTACGCTGGCCACGCCAAATATGTACGCTCTGCTCTATCGAACACTATTAATTTTAATTTGAATGATCTCGTTCAAGGCCTGCAGAATCCTTCGCCTAAACTCTGCCGCCTCTTATATAGTTTCAGCAAAGCATCCAACTTGCAATTTTAACTTTCGTTTAACTGCCGCGCAGCTAACACGCAAGCGCAGGGATACTCTCGGTATCCCTCCCACCCCTTCCATCCTCAGTGGCTTTGCGCCGCTTTTCCAAACAGCTGCGCTCTCTCGGAGTCATCTTTATGGCCCGAGTTTCTGGAGGTGTCACATTTGCCTCCTTCGTTCACGCGCCAGTTTCCACTCTCATCAGTATCTATGCTCCACTTCACGTTCACATGTCCGCTTTTTGCTCTGGTCTCCGCTATTGACCTCCATATCCTATAGAAGGCAGGAATAAAGAAGAAGAAGAAGAGAAGAAGAACTTTTAAATGTGTTTGGTTTTAAGATTTGGAAGAATTTTGTGCTAACATTTTCCGATAATGTTCAATTCTTCAAGAAAAAGATATCAATTTACACTCGCGTAATGACATAATTAAATTGCAATCATTAACCCATAATCAATTTTCTTTGCCTAGATTTAAAAATCTCTTCCAATATGCTTGATTTAAAAGTGGCTATTTAACAACGTATCCGGCGAATTTCCAAACCCTAGATTTCTGTTATTTCAAAAATGAAAAGCATGTATCCAAATGATTATTTTAGTTATGGAAGGGCCGCTTTTATGCATTGTGCATGATATGGCGAGTATTTTTGTTTTCAACATTTTTATGAAGAATACCATTACTGTACTAATTACAATCCATAATTTAGAGAACCTCTACAGTTTTGTAGTCTCTCGCAATGTATAATTACAAAATATGTACAAAAAAAAGATTATATTATTAATTTATATTAATAGTCAGGAGTCAAACATATCTATAATATATTATTGAAAATGTAAATCGGAATGTTCAACAAGATTATCAATATTACTCTCCACAATTTAATATTAAAATAGAGTTCCACGCACTATCTTATCGTGCGGTTTGTAAAGTAGTTAAATAAAATAACAAATAGTGTATGTATGTTGCAGTAAAAGCTCTTATTTCAATAGTTGCTGCTGTACTGACACTGTACATGAATGTGATGAATTGTATTGTATTTACCTTTCACGCTATTTCGCGCAGCGGTATGAGACCAATACGTACAGAGCTCGCAGAGAAGTTTTCGTTTATATTTGAAAAATGGATTTTCGGAAATTATCATATACATATCATATACGTCGTTTTCAGCGTAAAATGCTCTTTAATTTTAGTTACATAAACGTTAACAAATTTTTGAATTTTAGGGGTGGTGATGGGGTATACAATAAATAATTAATTTAAAAAAATTTTTTATTACAGTTCTGTAGTACTTATGAAACCATTCAATTTTTAATCTGGAAATTTTTTTCTATCCCTTAGTTTCGACAATATTCGCTTCGAACGAAAAAAAACCGATTTTTTTCAAAGAGATGTTTCACTCTCTAAAACTGAAATTCCGCACAAACAAAAAATAATTTTGTGTAAATTATTCTACTTGCACACCAAGTTTCAGAATTTTTTGAATTTTTGAGTTATCTCTAATCTCATCTTATTCTAACCTTCTCCTTTGTTAGTTGGTTTAATAGTTATTTAGAAAACAAAATACGAAGAGTTAAATTTAATGGAATTTTGTCAGATCCGATCGCTGTGAAGCTGGGAATTCCAGGCATCAATATTGGGACCATTATTATTTTTACTTTATATAAATGACTTAAATCATTTGTGGCAATTGTGAAATTAGATTATTCGCAGATAATGCACTAATATATACAATAGACTATTCAAGCCAAAAAATTAGTGATAATCTTAATATGCAAATATAAAAATCTGAGGAATGATTGAAAAATAATAGATTAAAATTAAATGTTAATAAAACCAAAAGTGCTAGTTAGAAATATTAGGAAAAAAGTATCGGAAAACAATATGAAAATAAAACTAGGAAACACAGTATTAGAAGTAGTTAGTGAAATTAAATACTTAAGTATTATTATAGAAATCTTAATTTTGAAACAACACATGTTAATTATCTAGGGAAAAAAATAGGATCGAAATTGGAAGCATTTTGCCGAATTAGTATGAATCTAATATCATGTATGAATCTAACACCATGCGTTGTATATAAAGCGATTGCTCCGTTATTCGAATATTGTTCATCTATATGCTGAATTTAAATGATTATAATGTGCAGTATTTATAAAAATTATAAAATAAGGGGATGAGAATTATATTACGGTGCAATTATAAGACTAGAATTCAAGACATACTTGAGTCATTGCAATTTATGTCAATTAAGGAAAGAGTTAAATATAATGTTCGTATCTTAATACATAAAATCGTAAATGGAGACTGCCCGAATTATTTAAAAAATAAGATAGAGCAAGTAAGAAAGGAGAAAGGAATACAAACAAGAGATTAGGAAGGGTAATATACATATGAATAGATGTAAAACTAGAGAGAAACAGAGAATGTTGTTGCATGAGTTCAAAATGTATAATAAAATTAATCAAATAAAATAAGAAAAGAAAAATAAATTAAAAAGTTTTGAGAGCGCTAGTGTCAAATATTAGGAGTGGAGAGGAATAGTGCAATGTGGAAGTACATGGGTTGTGTAAGTCTGGTACTTTGGAGAATTCCGCATTATATTAGATTGTTTCACACAATGTAGCTATTGGAACTAATAAAGATTAATCAATAATAAAAATAATAGCAGATTCTAATTTATTTCAATCTGTTATTGCATTTCAAATCTGACGAACCGAATCGACGTGTAGTTAGTAGAACTAATAGATAATATATTTACAACAATTTGTATATGAATATTATTAAACACCAAGATTCGCTTTGACCGAAAGCAATTATTCCTCTTAATTATTCTTATCGGTCCAATTTTTACTTATGATTGCTCATATATATTTTATTATGAATTTCATAAATTTAACTTTATAAATTATAAACTTAAATTTATAAACTTAAATTTATTCATTTTTAATTGAGTGTTTCCTGCTTAATATATTTATTTATCTGTTTTAACACATCATTTTGAGGATATTTTTTTTAAACAATATTATTATTAACAAAAATGAAATATATTTATAATAGTTTTTACATTACCCGCATTACATTACCTTACGCACTATTGTAGAAAGATTTATTAAGTTAATGAGAATCAGCGCGGAAGTGAATGCGCATAAATATTAATTCATATAAATTAGTCCATTGTAATAAATGATGTTAACATTATTACAAATTCTTGTTGAACATTTCATCATTTATTACAATAAACTAATTTATATAAATTAATATTTGGGCGTACCAACTTCCGCGCTGACTCTCATTAGACTTATTTTTACTGTTATTTACTGTTTTAATAATTATTAATAATTATTAATTATATACAGGGTGCGTCACCAAAATCCAGACAAATCGAACAATTTCTTTAAACAAAATGTTTTTAATAAAAAATTTAATATTACAAAAAATTCTTTTACATGGCATTTGGGGGATCCCTGCAGAGTACAATTATCGATATATCCCCCATCAGCTTGAATGACGGCCACTTCTTGGTTTGAAATGTTCGCACGCTGTAATGTAGCGCTGTTCATGCCGACGAATGCTGCCTCAATAGCAGTCCTTAATAACGTCACATTGGGATGGCGAGATTTGTTTGATCCTTTCAATTATGCTCCATACGTAATAGTCAAGGGATTTAAATCTGTTGAAACTGTTGGGAGGCCAGAATTCTTTGGACCAAAACATATCATTGTCTGAGAGTCAATTTTGAATCAAATGACTCGTATGAGCCGGTGCACTGTCTTGCTGAAAAACATATGACCTTCCGGACACCACAGTTTCCATCCACGGTTTCACTACATCCATCAGAACGCGCAACGATTGCTTTGGGTCATCCGAAATCAGCGCTTAAGCCCTTTTAACGACTGCGGGGATCCTCGCGGAGCGTTCTTTCGAGTGACCCTTCCTCGCTGGCATACTGGAACTTTCGTTGGACTGTTCTAAAGTCATATATTTTGCTACAATGTCATAAATCTGATCTCGGATATCCAAAGAATCGAATTATTTCCGTTACTGAGCGCCCAGTGCGAAGGCCTTCGATGATCGCGGCTCTTTAATTATACTCCTGATTTCAACATCGCAGCCATTTTGAGAATATGACTATTTATTAGAAGCATCAGGCTTTCTCGGACGCCAACAATAACCTCTGGCGGAGGCATAATATAGTGGAAAATTTAAATTGAAATTTGTTCGGATTTTGATGACACACCCTGTATATATAATATATAATATATAATTAAAAAAAAAATTATATACACAGTAAATAATCAATCTATACATATTATAAAAGATAACATCGTA